GACTGAGAGAGGAACGAGGCGGGAGGAAACCGAAGCCGCTGAGCCAGAGAGCAGGACAGGCTTCGGTTGCTTCCTCCCTTCCCTTCTCTCATTTGTGTCCTTGATCCCCGATCCCAGCAGCATTCACCGAAGGCGAAGAAAGCCACCATTTTTTTTAATTTTTTTTTCTTTGCGGCCCGGGACAGAGTGCTCCACGGACCCGGACCGGTCCGCGGCCCGGTGGTTGAGGACCCCTGGTGTAGCTACCCTCTGCAGTTGCCTCATGATGCGGGGGTGGGGAGTGTTGGCTTTAAAGAGATGCAGATATATTTTACCCCTGTACACCCCAAAGCACATTTTTGGAATAAAATCTAAAAAATTGAATACTGAATAAATATACTTAGAATCTAAAATCTTTTCTTGGTAAATGTGTATATGGATAGGCATGGTTTTGCATACCACCACAATTTTGCTACCCTCACTAATTTTTATTCTCTTAGGAATTACCTTTTTGGTAGTATGCAAATGAATTGCAGCTCTATTACATGTTAAGCAAGATGTAGTTAATGTGCTGCTGTTGTTGCTCTATTCTAAATTGCCTTCCAGAACTCAAGATAATGTATGTACTCTCTCTACTTTTCCCATAACAGCTCTTTAATATAGGATGGACTGGGAGATAGTCACTGGTCTCAAATCCTACTGCACCACATTTCCTTGCAACAAAGGTTGCTTGAAATCATCACATCCCATTGCCCTTTTATCAGCAGTACACCTCTCTGTCAGTAATTAACTGTTTTGTGGATGTCTGTATATGCTAATGTGCATATGTTCATGTGTACTCTAATAAGTATCATTTTTCCCACTCCCGGGCCTAATTTGGCACCAATGAGTACTCAACTCTGAAATGATGCTTACCTCTGATTCTGTCAAGGCAGTGTGGGGTTTCAAACTGTCTTCAGCTTCCAGAATATCTGGACATAGGCTTTAATGAGTTTCATCTGCATGAAGTCAGGCAACCTGAAGCACTTGTAAATTCTGACATTTTATGATTTTTATGATTGCAGAAACAGATTCAAAGCCTAAACAAAATGTGTTCCAACTTGCTAGAGAAAATCAACAAAGAAGATCGAGAATCTGAAAGTGGAGGTATGGTTCTAGATAAGGAAGAAGACTGAATGAGCTTTAGTGGGGACAACACTATTGAGAGACAGAAATCCCAGCAACAGAGATTAAAGTATGTTAAGAAGTAAAACCTACACCTTTGGAAAATTTGGAGACCAGTATGAATGTTTTTCTATCCTATAGGTTTACGGCAGAACAAGCAGACATTCAACCCTGCTGATACCAATGCCCTAGTTGCAGCTGTAGCCTTTGGAAAAGGATTGTCCAACAGACGTCCACCAGGAGTGGGAAGTTCTGTTCCGACCAGTCAGCAAGGTGCCAATGCCATCATAGCTGGTGCTTCTACCATGCAGCAAGTACAAATGTCGGGCGCACCAAATCAGCCACAGCCTATGCTTGGAGGAGTGCAGATGCCACAAGCAGGGCAACCAGGTAAAAAGAATCACAGACAAATATATAGTGGTACTGTTAAGACAATAGGAAATGTCCCATGAAAATTAAACATTTTGTACAGACTGGCTTTAGAAAACGATGATTTGAGATAAGATATGCAATACCTGTTTCTTCCACATCATTTTAGCAAGGGATATGGCAGCGTATGATTTATATTAACATTATCCCGGAGCCTGGAGATGAGATAGGATTGTATTAAATATAGGAATACCTATTATATTGAGAATAAGTGGCTAGTAACCAAAATCAGGAGCAGGCTACTCTTATTATGTCCAGCTGGATGGAATTTTAAAAAGGGAAAATAGGATAGTGGGGAGGTTAAGTCTTTTCTCTTATTCATCAGGCTTCTTGTTTAGTGCATAAAATGCCTGAGAAACTTGCACATAGTGATGTTAGAGTGTGAGTGAGTGATTAAATAAACCTCCCTCAAAAATATGTACAGATATAGTATTAAAGATATTGCCCCCTAAATTGGTCAGATTCTTATTACATTACTAAACCCAGCTTTTTTCATCTCTCCAGGTAAGATGCCCAGTGGCATAAAAACCAATATCAAATCTGCTTCAATGCATCCCTATCAAAGATGAGTGGGAAGTAGTCTGGTCTTATTGCTGTTCCTGGATTTCATTTCCAAGTCAACACTTCTTCAAGTGGTTCTCATCAATTAAACTTGGAGTCTTCTCTGAAGATCACTTGGATCATTTATTAACACAACTGCATTGATCCAGGATACAAGAATGTAGACATGTATTTTTCATTCCAAATGATAGAGGCAATTTTGAGACAAGAGACCTGTTCAGTAGCTAAGTCAAGATGGTAAACAACTTTACTTTTTGTTTATTAATGTAAGCAGCCTGATTCCTGTTTTGGAACTGCCTGTTAGTGACTGAGATTATATGAGACTTGCAAGTTATAACTTTTCTTAAAAAAATAAATAAAGTTCAAGTGCGCTTTCTCATGTAGGCTTTTTTTGTACTTTTAAGTGGCTCATGGGAAAATGTGTGGCTTTGTCTTGGCTGTACTTTTCATATAGTGCTTAAAACCTATACCATTATATAGGCCAGCATATAATCTATTTTGACTCCTGTTTGAGATTCTTCTGTTCAACCCCATTTTTCATTGACTGGGGAGGGCTAACATTCTAACTCTTGGTTTATTATTATAGAAATTTTGTCAAATAATCAACTACTGGGCAGGCACAATGGATAAACATGCTCAAATTTTATTAATATAACCATCTGAAAATGTTTTAAATGTGACAGAAGGTAAATATTACAATGGGTTTCTCAAGTGGATGATAGTAGTCCTGACAGATCTTCCTTGTGTCAGTGACAAAAGAAAGGCATTACTTTTTTTGCTGTTGATGTGCGAGGGGACCTAGAAGTCAGAAACAATTCTGATTATCCAAAGCTATCACTTACAGTTATTATATGTTTCAGCCACTGGATTCAGGTTCTGCTTAAGAATAGTAACTTACTATTAAGTGACAACATGAGTATCTACTGCTGATAGCAGTAGAAAGGATATTAAGTGATACCTAAACAGGTGTTTAAATATTTGAAAGACAGTTGAAAGACAGTTAATGTTCTGTTCCTAGCAATGGTTGAGCACAAACTTGATCTTCAAGCTCAAGTTTTTAACTAGTCCCATGCAGGGATACTGGTGGCTTGTAACTTGTTCTCTTTGGTGTTGGTGATTGTGGTAGAGATATCCTTTTGGATCTTCTGGGCCAGCAGCAGGAGCAGCAAAAGCTGTGACTTTTAATTTATCAGGAGCCTTGTGTTCAACCTCTTTGACTGGGAAATAGCCCTTCCTCAGCCTCAACTATCACAACAACAGTGGAAAATTGCCACTATTATAGCGTTCTACAGAAATTAAAAGTGTGCCAGAAATACATTTAAATCAATGGGAATTTAGTCTGGATTTATGTGGGAATGAATTTCATGTTTTAACAAATTGAGACAACTGTTAATTTTATGAAATTTCAGTGTAACATAATTCCTGACTGATCTTGAATGATCCTGGAGGTTTGGCATGATTGACTCTGATTAGTACATAGATGTGGGAATAGTACTAGATGAGAAATAAACACACAGAAAGAAAAAAACTGTACTAGATGAGAAATAAACACACAGAAAGAGAGAAGCCTGAAAGATTGCAGCGATAAATCACGTCTATACGTCCCTACATGGATATGTTCTTCTAATCACCAGAAAACAAGCTTGACATCTTAACCTTTTTATAATGATTAAATAATATATTTTTAAAAGATGTTATCAATTAGACTTCTATAATTGGTTGTTAGCCATTCCTTTGAACAAATTGTGGTCAGATATAATTTTTCATAGGTTGTTCTCTTGGAATTTCCTGTGATTAAAAACTAATTTGAAATGAATATCTTATATTGTCATGAGGATCCCTTACTATAAAATATTTATTACAGTAAAACAAGCCTTTTAATTTGAAAACATTAGTTGTCCATCCCACTTTTATATTGCAAATTGTTATTTTTATATGTGCCTTTAAAAATAATTGTGTATCTTTAATTTAAAATGGAATGAATTAAATGGAAGAAAAATAAGCTCAAATTTCATTCACAGTTCCCATACCATTAAGGCTGCCTTATAAAATGAACTGACAATGTTTTTTATTAAATATACAGTTTTACAATTGTAAACAGCAGATCTTCTTTCTATAATCAAATCTGCTGTGACTCATTATGGTATACAAAATGAATTAAGTATTTTACCTGATATGCATTATATAAGGCTTCAAAATTAGATACTAGATATTAGATGTTTTGTCATGGGCTATTTTTCTATCTGTGGTTCCGAGAGTCCAGATAGGATAGGGTTAATTCAGTTCCTGCTCTGGTGGACTGAGTCTGGGTTAAAACTTAAGCTCCGCCTTGTGCCATGGCCATGCCCCGTTTTTGACTCAGTCCAGCCAGGACAGGACATGAGTTGCTGAGGTTCCACTTGCATGGCAAGTGGAGATTTTTTTCAAAAGGACAAAGAAAGAAGTTTTAAACTGCAGGAAAATTGCTTTGGAGGTTCCTGCAGCCAAGTCAGGAGGTTTTTCAGCCTCCACACTTGGAGATCACGCTTTGGGGCTGCTGCTCTAGCGTGGGGAGCCCCGCCCATACAGAGGCTCCAAGCGATCAGGCCAATAAGGCCACCAGCTATTTAGCATGGTTGTGCAGCAGCAGCATGAGCAATCGGCTTGTGTTTCTCTTTTGGTTTTGCTTCTGTTGATCGCTTTGGCTGCGAAGCACTTTGCACAGCAGCTTGCAGCAGCGGCTCAGAGGGCAGTCGGCCCAGAAGAAGATTTGCAGCAGCACAAAGCAGCCACTTGATTGGGCAATCAGCCCGATCTCAGCTGGGGAAGCTCATATATGTATTACATATTTCTTAATTGTCTATTGCCCTTGGAAAATAACATAAAACCATTTCTCCCCTCCTTAGTTAGTTAGATGTATTTTGTTAAATAGAATTAATACATATATTCTACAAGAGCTGAATTAAGAGTAATATATTGATGCATTTAAAGGCTGGTGTCTTTTATTTAACTTCAGCTGGCAGAAAACTATTATATGAAATGAAATAGAATCATACGGTCGGTATTCATTAGTGTGCCATGATTGGATTTTGATGGCAAAGAAATACCTCCATCAGAAATAAACCAACAAATGTAGATTGTCGTGTTTTTTTTAATAAAAATTTTATTTGGGTTTTCACAAAACATAATACAAGTAAAATTTCTTTTTTTGAGAATAGCATGGTCCCAGGTTATCACTTCTCCATACAGTCAAATTCAATTTCATATTCACCTTTGTGTTCTATTCCATATCTTATTACTATTTTAACATTTTCTCAATAATTTTTCCCTTCCCTTAGTTTTCTCAATCTTACTTTTAATTATCTAATTCCTTTCTAAATTCAATTATATATATCTTTTTCTAAGTTTCAATATATTTCTAGTCATTATATTTATACTTTGTCCTGTTTCAATTTCATATTTTCTTTTCTCATGAAACAAATTTTTTCCTTGTAGTTACTAATTGGAGTATGACATCTTTGTATCTTTTAATTTTTATCCATTCAACTCTTATTTAAACTTCATTTTATGCCTTTACAATTATAACATTCAATATAACACATAACTTCTTTTTTTGAGCCCCGAAAAAACGGCTAGGCCGTCTTTTCGGGGGTAACTTAATTTTCCCCCTTTCATCCTCATCTAGAGCGCCCCGCGGGCAGCCTCGCCACCAGCCGCTCCTAACGGGCGATCATGGCGAAGCGCAGAGAGCTCCCTACTCCCACCAAACACCTTTGCTGCAGACCCAAGACCTTTGGCACCTGCCTCTGTTGCTTTCCCTTCTGCCCATTCCGCTGCCGTTTGGAGTGCCGTTGGAGCTGCTGCCGCCGTTTGGAGCTGCCTCTGCCGTTTGGAACTGCCTCTGCCGTTTGGAGCCGCCGCCGTTTGAAGCTGCCGCTTCCGCGTTTGGAGCACTACCGCTGTTTGAAGCACCACCGCCACTCCAAACACGGCGGCAGCTCCAAACACGGAAGCGGCAGCTCCAAATGTGATGGCGGCACTCCAAACGGCGGCAGCGGCTCCAAACGGCAGAGGCATCTCCAAACACGGAAGCGGAGCCACCGCCGCCATTTGGAGCTGCCGCCGCTGTTTGGAGTGCCGTTGGAGCTGCCTCTGCCGTTTGGAGCTGCCTCTGCCGTTTGGAGCCGCCGCCGCCGCCGTTTGAAGCTGCCGCTTCCGCGTTTGGAGCACTACCGCTGTTTGAAGCACCACCGCCACTCCAA